TTTTCTACACAAAAAACATGGTTTCAAAACATATTTAACATGCCCCGTCTTAATGAAATCGATCAAATTTGATAACAACTCTTTGTTTTAGTATACGCAGATTTAGAGCGCAGTCTTGCATGTTTAATCTTGACCTTAGCCCCAATAAAACGGCTAATAAAAACCATCAGTTTTCCAAATTATAGGGCTATGAAAACTTCGTAACAAGCGGAGGGCGTGTGTGATTTTGTGAATGTATGTGTAAAAGAAAGATAGAATGTGTGTCAGCTCTGTATGGAATTTAAGGAATTTCCTACTCCATTACTCCTGACTAGATAAGTCTTACTTGTTATATATATATTTTAAATCTGTTATATCTTTTCAGTTCTTTCAGCATCCAGATCGACTTCAGTAAAAGATGTTGAAGAAAAATTTCTATAGCAAAAAAAAACGGGCGTGTCTACCATTTCGCCCATAAACAAGTGTAATTTGCAAGTATCAAATACACATTCTTTGAAGGGATACAAAAACACTGATAACCGACAACTTGGATATGACTCACGATGTAATATTAAGCAAACTGAAGAGATGATTGTGGCACCATTTATGAAACTTCATAATCCAGCTCCCACACTTCCTATACACTCTCCCCATTCTCCGATGCATTTAAAATCATATTCTAAAATTCAGCAAAGTAAACTTTCTGGACGGTATATAAATAATAAAATTGTCCAACAAAAGTCTGCTAACAAATTATTAGGTGGTAAACAAATGACTGAAAAAAACTTTTATTTTAATGAAAGGGAGAGAGCAACAATCACACACTCGAGTAAGATCTGTGGGTGTACTAAAACACCAAAACACGATTCGATAGAAAGCTGTGCAACTAATTTTACAGTTAACGATGATAAAAGTGATATGTCAAAGACGATGTATGACAACAGACCGAATCGCAAAGAAAAATCAACAACTGATTTTAACGTAAAAAAAAAAAATGAAGTCACCTCAGACGTAAATTCAAAACATCGACGATCTCTTGGGGTTCAAGACAATCATAATATATGTCAATATACACTTAAAACTAGTAGATCTGAGCAGAGTTCACCAAATATTGTGAATATAAACAAATCAAGTTTCGCATATGATTCTTTGCTACATCTTTCAGCAATGGACCCATGGATAAAGAAAAATGAGTTGCAAATGTATAGTATGAATGAAGTTGATAACAATTCAACGGATCCTTGGATTAAACTTCCAAATAGTGATCATGTTAGAACAGGAAGCTCTACAGAAAAACTACCAAAACTGGATGATATTTTGGAAACAAAAACCAAGTCCTATTTAAAACCAGTACTGCTGCAAAAGCAAATGTCTAAAAATGAAGAATTAGTATTCTCAGCGCCTCCTTCACCAAATCTTAATATTTCGTCAAATTTTACCATAAATCAGTCACCAAAAAAAAAGGGGCTGCCAATCAAGTCTGCCAGTTTTTCACCCGCAAGATTCAAGCCTTTCGTAAATCCCTTTGAAGATCCATTATACGACAGTATCGCAACACCTTCATTTCAACCAAATTATGTTGCAACTCCGTACCAATTAGAATACACAGAAAATGTAAATTGTAATCTTTTAAATGTGAACACTTCTAATAAAGAAGAGCTTCAGCTAAATATTCGTGGTCTATCCGAACATATAAGTCAAATGAACGTTGTACAATTTGCATTATGTGATTGTAATGTTAATATTAAAGAGTATGATACACAAACTTTTGTCGAGAACGCACAAACTTCTGATTTTCCCGCTACACAAATAGAATTGCCTAAAATGGAAAAAAAATGTTATACAGATATAGTGAAATGTAAGGACAGCTTTCATTCTGTTAAGCAGAATCCAAGTTTTTCCAATGTTTCGGAAAAAACAAAAGTGTATATTAACCATCAAAAGCCGAATCCAATGCCAGAAACCACCTGCTAACTATTGTTCAAAATTGAAATGTTAAGAATATTAATATATGTGTGTCTATATATTCGATTCATAATAAGTTATATCCGTATAAAGAAAAGCGAGAAATTTGTATTACAACATTTTAATTTAAGCCTGCAAGCTCTACAGCAAAAATGCATTTATATAAAATAATAGGAACGCTTATACATTCCTTATAAACCTAAACAATGTGTATTGTTTTTCAGTTGTTGGCTATAATATATTTGCGAACACCACCAATACTTATGTATAATGTATTATTTTATTGTATTAATATAATTTCTTGTAAATTCATTTAACCCATTGTAATAAAATCTCATAAACAACTCAAATGTATTTTTCATGCCTGATATCTAACCTCATAACTGTTACTGTAGCAAGGTTTTATGTTGATTTTTCAAACTTTTGAGCGCGTGTAATCAATGATTATTTAGATAATTTAAGAAAGTAAAACCAACACTATTAGAATCCCGTTGTCGTTGATGTTGGCTATGTGACTTGCCTGCTAGCAGAACAAAAATCATGTGCAGATGCAACCTACATGGCCGCTAGAGGAGTCTTTGGAAAATGTGCTAAGGTTCATTATGTTAATTGCAAAAAAAATTAAAAGAAGTCGAAAAGTTATAAACAATTTTGTAGTGAATCCACATTGCTATGGAATTAGTTTAAAAGGACGACAATCCATCTAGAGTCGTCAAAGCTTCGCTGGATCGTGAGAATATCACGTTAATGGAATATCACCTTACGCAACTGACTTAAATGTTATCGAAAATGTGTGGGGATGGGTAGGCAAGGAAGTTATATGAAACATCGGGAAACAACATTCTACAAAATCGGAGCTAATTGAGGTGATCCAAGCGTTTGTATGGTTCTCTATCAAACCCAAGATATCTGAAATTATCCTGAATCGTGGGGCTCTCCTCATTATTTATTATAATGTCCGTGTCATAACTCAACACCCAAACGGACAAGTAGTTGGATATTATACGGAAAAGGGAGGACGGTATTCCTTTTCAGGCTCAGGCTCCCTGGATGCGTGCCAGCTTGCTGAGTTGAAGACATTATCTTCAATGACACATAGAAGCCGGTCACATATGATCCTATATCCCGATGGTGCCTCGACTGGCTTTTCATACTTCAGTAGAAGTATTACTCCCTTTCTCCCTTATCACTTGGGGAATACTCCGCCCTGTAAGCATTTGGTATATGTTTCAGCAAAGACTTCTTGTTTCGTTGCTGGCTGGCTTTAGTGCCTTGTTAGGCACACTATCTGGGTCTGGGGCCTTCCGTCGCCAATTTTGTTTACTTGCCACCGCAATTTCGTATGCTGACACCTGCTGCGTAGCTCCGTGCTACGTGAGCAGTTGACCGTCACTAGTTGTGGATGTTGAGAACAGTGACTCGACTATAGGGTTGAGTGCAGTGATGGCAGGCCTCTGCCGAGTCCGCCCACTGATCATGAAGTATAGAGTCCTCAAAGGTCCTCGTGTATGTAGCTGTCCTTCCATTTAGGGCCTGTTTGTTTCCTCCCCCGTTGATCTCGAAGTGTACCCTTGCTGAATGTGAATTCATCGCTGAATTTCCACGTAGATCGTCTGTGTAGCGAGATGATAAGCAGGGTAAATTATATAAGAGAACCTCTGCCGGCCTTGCAATATGTCAGCTACTGTCTAGCATTTGCAAGGCCCACATCGAATGACGCGCTCTTCCAGCAGATTGGGCCCTCTCGCGTTGGTTTCCTAGCTTCCCCATTCCACAGCCCAAGTGTCAAAGTCTCCCGCTATGACAAGTGGAGCACTCTGGCTCCTCTTGGCAGTCCCAAGCCAAGTGATCTTTTCCTCTGCATCGCCGGCACAAATCTGTCCTGTTCGCTCTAGCACTGTCTCGCAAGGTGATGACATTTGGTGATGTTTATTCCTCGGAGCCTTGAGCTGACCCACCCTACTTTCAGTGTACCCATAGGACTTTTTCCCGCTTTCCGCTGGCAACCTTATCGTGGCCGTTTGGGTGTGACCATACACCTTTCGCAGGCTAACGTTTTCCGAGGATCTGATCTCGTCCAGGTCAGATATTTATAAATAAGGTATTTTTACTATTGATCAGTGCTGTAACCAAATACCACTTACCTTCTCAAATAAGGTAATTTTATCCAATATCTGATCAAATTATAATTTCGTATTTAGTGTGCAACTGTTAGTACAATCAATAATAATTGTTTTCTTTAAAATTATATCCACTCTTATAAAAAAGGGCTTCAATGCCTCGAGGTGCCAAATAGTTGTAATATTGGTACAATACTGCATATATGTATGTGTCTGCCAAGCCAGAGAAGTGTACGAATTTAAGAAGATTGCCACATTCTGTTGCGCATGACGTCGCAGCCAAAGGATTTTATGTGCAATCACTTCGTATTTAAAATTATTACATATTTCAATAAATTATTTACTATAAATTACCCTCTTACAAATTATTTAAATGTACATAATAAAGGTTGGTTGAAATAAAATTCTAAAAAAAAATGTGACGTCATAATTTCTTATATTAACGCGCCGTGAGCGTTACCCTTTGATTTGAATGCCATGGACTGCTGGCATCGACTAAGTCAAGTGATGTGGAAAAGTTTAGTTTGCAAAGTTGTGACGATATTAATAATAATTATTATGCTGTTTTCTGCAAATATTTTTAAAACAAATTTGTTGGGTAAACTATCTTAATAAAACATGGTTTTCATATAAGAAATTTATTTTCCACCCATCGTATAACAGCTATATGAGAGAGTGCTCCGATCCGACCGTTGCCTATATATGTACTGCCTGCAACAGAAATACAAACCTAAACATTTCATGATGGTTTTGTAACTGGTGGACTATTCTACAGAGAGACAGACAGACTCACGGGCATGACAACATTAACTTGGCTTTTGATTATCAGGAATATATGCACCTCAATGGGGTTGGAGACATTATTTTCTATGCGTTGTACATTTAATGAATAACTTATAATGTTTTTGTCAAGATGATAAAAGTAAAATTAAGAAATATTGTTTCGCTAGAAGCTAGATTGTATTTCTCAATTTTTCCGCCATCACATTACATTCAGCGATTTTGTAACAATCAATGAATTTAACTCGAACTTAAAGTACTTTATATGTCGTCACGAGGGATTCCTAAGTGAGCATTGCTCCACTTTGAGGTATTGGGGTATTCAAACTCTCCCTATAAATATATGTTAATATCGGTTTAATCTGACTTGTCCATACTAACCGTAATGTGATCAGGTTCATGCCAAAGATGCCAAATTACCCACCACCACATGGCTCCACCCACAGCGACGGCTCCTATTTTAGTAGCTTTTGAGTGAGGCGGTGGGGCACTTCGGTAGGAAACACTAGGTAGTGCATAAAATATGCACAAGGAAATTAAAAATTACATAATAAATAAGGTCTGAACAGCATTCAAATATGAATTGAATTTTATATGTTCATGTAATTTGCGGTGTATACTACTTACACATGACTTTTTCTATTGATTACTTTGGTTTTTCCATGAAGCGACAGAATTGCATTTTCGGCCGCCAAGACACTTCTAAATAATCTTAAGTTACCAAACATTATCTGCGTTGACACCTAACAGAACATTTAAAAGCTAGTTATGATGCTTATCGATAGATTCATGAACACCAATGTCTTCGAGTGTACGTCAAACTAGCATCAAACTCTTAGCGATTTTTGTAACTTGGTTCCGGAGCCGGAATCACTCATTCAGTTATGCACGCATCCAAATACATTTATATTCATAGTTGTAATTATTGACTGGCTACCATTTGAAAACCACATATTCCCGGTTAAGTCCAATAGATTCACTTAATCCACATATAAACACATAAAAATCAATAAGAACGTTTATGAGTTATTTACAAAGGAGTAAAACAACCTCGACATTTTGATTAAGGCACATTTTTCAATCGACCTAAAGGTTCTTACCACATTATTAACAAAAGCGGAAACCTCTCATTCCAACATTTGACTTTTTATTCGATGCAATTTATAGCCTTACAGTGCGTAACCACATTTCGTACATATTTCTGAAAATGTGACATTTTTGCACAATTTTGCAAAGATGTGTAAATTTGCACCGAACATTTTGTAATCGAGATTCTTATCGATATTGTGAAAAAATGTTAAAGTATCATAACCATAAACAGCTGATATATCAACGAAGGCAAGCGGCAACTTAAATAAGAAAATAACCCCAAAGTTTTTAGAATATAAACATGGCGAAATCTCGAAAAGAGTACCTGAAATGAAGCCCTTACTTCGAGAGCGCAATTTTTGAATTTTTTCAGAAAAATTAAGTAAACTCGTGGCCAATATGTTAAATTTGAAAATGTGACATTTCTTAAACAAGTGGACAGAGTTAATAGCCTCTGAATAGAAGGTAATAAGGGGAAGGCAATATCTTAAATTTTTAGCACAAAACGTTCCGCAGGCAATATCCGCAAATATACGATACATTTAATCTGGTACCTTTGTGTAAGGCAGTGAAAACATTCCGTGCTGTAGTCTTTCGTCATTCGGCTCCGAATCGCGCTCTCTGGAGTGAGTCCCTGACAGACCGAGCACCTCGACGATGTGCTTCATCATCTCCAGGAAGTCCGCTTGCATCTCATCTCGGATGGACTAGCTGATGCCAGACGGAAGGGATTGCCGATACGTCTGCTGGGATTGTGCAATCGCTACGTTCACTGCCGACCTGATTGCAAAGTCCATGGGTGTTTTTGGGAACTTTAGATTTCCTAGATGCCCCTTCGCCGGGATATCTCTCTCCCTCTCTCTGGAAATCCTCGAACGATCATCCGCGTTCTCCCTAGATTTCCGCCAGGTCGAGGTGGTGGAAATGATGACGTTTCTTCAGTGTCTAAAACCCAATCGGATTCCTGGTCCTCAGCCATGAATGTCTCCTAACCAGAAGGCACTAACCTTACTTTTAATGACACAGATACATTTTTAACGTACCGACGAAGATAAATACTATATAAAAATGTTAAAATCACTACACGAAATATCCTAGCGACATCAACTCTAACTAATATTAAATAATAAATAAATAGATATATAAGCTCAAAACTCGACACCGAAAATCTTGCCTATGTAAATAAATGAACATTGACAACAAAAATGATCAAATTTTTGATCAACATCAAAAGCTGAGTTGATCTAGCCATGACCATTTTCCTGTCCGTCCTTTCGTCCGTATGAATGAACGTTAGAACCTTTAAGAGCAAGAGACTTGAAATTTTGAACGTAGATACACGTTGAGCCCGCGAAGTACGAGTTTGTTTCCGATAAACGATAGGTTTCCCCGTCTTCAACCATTCGCTATCCAAATCTTGGTATTTGAGCAAATATCTTAGATTATACGACATGTTGACATGTTGATTTTCAAATAGTATGTGTAAATCATGATTGAATCATTATATACTAAGCTATCGACCTTGTCTTATCATGCACCTCCATCAAATAAGGTAAATACAGGATCTATATGTTATTACTGGCAGCGTAAATATATATGTTGGAAATGTGGTCATGTCACCCAAATAGTAAGAGGGTGGCAGCACCGATTTTATGAAATGTAGCAGAACATGGATGCTTGCCCACCCGATTCGCTCGGTGAAAGAATATGAGCGGAGTGAATCATGTGCCCTTTAAAATGCCCTTGCCCTTTGCTGGACCGTTGAACGATATAAAAAGCTGTCAATTTGAGCAGCAGTGGTGTTCAAAGCACAGAATAAAAGAACAAGATATTATGCAGGATACGCGCAACCGTCGCGCTATCCGCAAGGACTGAACAGGATGACTCTTGGGGTTGAGATGTCACTAAATCGCGCGGAAACCCTGCCGAGAGAGCTGCAGAAGGCCTTCGTGGGAGGCTAGTCTGCTGGAACTGTAGAAATTTCGATATCATGCCTTTGCAGAGAGAGAGAAGGATATCCTACTACAGGTGCCCACAGAACAAAAACTGTTCGGGAAACTCCAGAGGGAGCGCCATGATGGTAGGACAATCGCTTTCGGGGTCGACTGTGGAAAAGCAGGGGAGGAGTTCCTACCAAAACAAATCCGTGTATAAATATGAATACTTAGGCTTATAATAAGGACACATAAACAAAGTTGCGAATAGGGATATGACTTAAGGAAACATATTAAGAGGCTTACCTTATGAAGAAATTGTTCGGGCATACAACGGTCCGAAAGGGAATTTCTGGTTTAGCGACCGCTGGATTAAAGCGACAGGTCATGGAAACTGTGAGACGGGAAGAGAGAGTATAAGTCATTGGGAACGAGATCTGTTGGATATGAGAGATTCTATCAGTCTGCTGGTGCGAGGATGCGGGGGTAAGTGGACGTATTGGACAAATCCATGCGATGGTACGTCGATGGTAACGACAATGTTGCCAATCGTCCAATTTTAGGCCGCATCGTTCTGCCTGTTAAATGCGGTAGTCGAGAGGAAGAAGTCATATTTTACATGAGGCCCGACCTATCCAAAGAACTATATTGGGTATTGATTTTTGGAGAGCTTTCGAAATCGATCTACAGTTGGTCGGTTCCTTCACCAAGTTCGAAGTGTTTCCACAGGCATCTGAGCTAACAGTAGCCAACCCAGAGGTGGCCGTTTACCGAGACGACGACAATGGTATAACTGACCTGGAAATGTGTGACCTTTAGGACGAGCTGACTAAGTTTAAAGCGTTTGAGAGCACATTTCACTAATTCGAAAAGGAAGACCTAGGGAAGACCTACCTGTTGCTGCATTGGATACTGGTGATCGAAGAAACGTAACCCCTGAAGAAGAGCAATTATCCTTTGACACTGGAAAAGCAGGAGATCTTGTGGGCCAAGGAATCATCGAGGCGAGCGAAAGCCTCTGGAGTAACCGGGCGACGATGCGCGGAAACTCATCTCAACTCATTTTATATCTGAAGTTTCCGATTTGACAGATCGAGACGGAGGAGAAAAGCAGGGTATATATGGCGTGTATGGCACAGGGAAAGCCACTTTATTAATTCCGCCACATGCCATTCGGGCTCTGTAACGCCGCTCAACTGTTATGCTGGCTCATGGACAAAGCGATCACAGCGACCTTGGGAACTATGACTTCATTGCTTGGAAGACTTGTTAATCATTTCGGAAATACCTAAAATTGGCATGGCTAAATCAAAGTTCTACGCAATTACGCAACTAAGGAAATATAGGATTCAAGGCGGCGGGGCAATACGAAATGCGAACTCGAAATCATTGATGAGAGAAGGCGATCCGGAACATTCCCAATCCAAGGACTGCCAGGGAACTACGAAGCTTCGTAGGTACAACAAGTTGGTATTGCCGCTTCACAAGAAACTTCGCCGAGATCTCGGTACCGCTGATGATGCCTTGAAGAAAGAACGGGCAAATTTATGCTGACTGACCATGCATACCGTGGAAGCTTGAAGCCCATACCACAGTTCTCAGCTTGGCTCACCCCGATTTTAAAAGACGCATTTTTATCTTTTCATCTCACTTCGGAGTAGAAGTCATGCTGTTCCAGCTGAAAAACGAGCAGGAAGAAAGGCCTATGACAGCCTCCACGGTATTTGGGAAGAAGTACGCACCGACTGCCCCATTTTAAAAACTATACATCGAGTTCTTGACGAAATATCCACGATCAAATCAAGGGCATACGTGGATATTCGTCGTCGCAGACCACTTTCAAAGTTCACATTCCTGAAGGCCATGAGAAAAGCCCCCGCAGCAGAGTTTGTAAACTATCTAGCACACAAAGTGTTTTTCAAATTGTGCGTGCCTGAAGTAATCCACTCGGATTATGGGTGGCCAATTATTTCCAAATGGTGCAGGCATTTGGCATCACTCATTTGCGCACGTCCGTGTATTCACCGCAGAGTAATAAAAGGAAACGGTGAAAATGGTAAGCAATTGGCATTTTAAGCGATACGGCAAGCTTCGGTTTTAAAAACGAACACTTTTATCCCGTGCAAATTGGTATGTATTACTTAAAAAACATACGAAAACATCTAAAACAAAACAATTACTTTTCATTTCAGAGTCCAATGCCAAAAGCAGGTGGTGCTAGGTCTCCAGAACACCAAACTAAAAGAGCTATGTAGCTTAAAAAATAAAAAAGAATCATAATAAAAATTTTAAATAATTTAATATAGACTATAGGTGCAGCAAACAGAAATTTAAGATAATGAAATAATACGGAAAAACTAACTAATGCATTTTGCACCGATGCTAAATTGACGCAAGTACATAAATGCATATATTGTGATTCCGGTTCCGGAACCAAGTTCTAATAATTGATAGTTCATTTTACGATTGCTTTGATTCGAACTTATTGTGAACTCTTTTTAAGAACGAGTGCCGATAATAAAAATAGAATAAAAAAGCAATATTATTTAAGGTATTCTAAAAATTAATAGAAATGCCAGTCAAAGAGATGCCTTTTTCCGAAGAACAATTGGGAAAGAAATTAGATCGATGTGCATCTGACACAATTATTAAAGGAAGTGAGTGTTATATAATGTGTACATATGCATGCATACTGTGTAGTTTTAAAATCGAACTTGCTTATTAAATTATTCAAAACAACAAATTTCTTATTTATGTTACATCAAAATTCACAAAATAAATTTGTATGCAGTCTTTTTATACCCCTGCAGAGGGTAAAATAATTTTGTCTCGAAATGTGTAATGCATAGAAGAAACCGTCTCCGACTCCATAACGTATATATTCTCGATCAGTATCAAGAGCCGGGTCGATATAGCCTTGTGTGTCTGTCCGTCTACACGTTTCTATGCAAACTAGTCTCTATATTTATGTTGCACGCAGTACATATGCCGGAACCGGCTGAATCGGGCCACTATATCATATAGTTGCCATCGATCGAATTAAGGTTCTTGTATAAAAAACTTTTTTGTTTACCAATATATTTTGCCCAAACTATATATATATATAACTATATACAAATATCAATATCGATATCGGACCACTATATCATATAGCTGCCATAGATTCGATCGAAAATTTAGTTGTAAAAAAACGTTTTTGTTCAAAAAGATATCTTGACCAAACTCCGCATTAAGTTGTGACACCAAATTAAATTATTGTTCTGAGGTCACTTTATTTTTACTACTTAATAATACTACCGGCTATTTGGATTTTATTTGGAGCGATGTGCTCCCTTCAAAATAATCTAAAGAACTATAGAGTCTCGGTCGTTGGGCGATGGCGTTGATAATGTATATCGATTTAAAACCTGGTTTCCTTAAAAAAAGTAGAAGTTATATTATTGAAATGAGAGAAAAAATAAAAATGCACTCATACTAACTGACTGATTGGGGACTAACTAGGAACATGGAGTTGCACCCTAAGACGGGGTAAAAATCGTGAACAATAGTTTAGGAATTGTTTTCTTCTCCATCGACCGCTAACTCATGTTTAAAGATCTTTGTGGGGCGTTTCATCCATGCATGATGTAAATGGGAGTCAAAGATTTAGTGGGTGAGGTTTTGGGGTCAAATTCATCCTTACTGAAATTCATTTGAGATGTTCGAAAATATCATTAATTGTCGTGGAGAATGCGGGTCGTCTTTAAGCTGTTTTGAATTCTCTCAGATCAGCTTCTGACTTGTAGCTCTACATTAAAAATTAATGAATATTGATTTTCCGATTTCGGAAAAAACCCACAACTTAGAAACAAAGTCAAAAAATGTACAAGTATATTTGCGACTTCAGCGTATTCGGGATTTTTATATACTTTAGAATCAATTACCTGTATATATATTATAATATAAATTGAAAAGAGCACTTTAAAATAGTATTGGTAAAAAATAAAAAAAATCAAGTAGCGGGATATAAGAAACAAATTTTTTTAAAAATCTGAAGCAAAAAAATCTAGACCGGCAAGGCCGTGCCAGTTAGTGTCAACCTTCACAAAATACTAACGTACATATTTTTTATTCACAGGTGGCGGCCTTATTATTGGATCAGTGATGTCATTAATATTTTTTAAAAGACGTGTGTGGCCTGCTTGGTTGGGTACTGGTTTCGGCGTTGGCGTTGCCTATAGTACTTGTGAAAACAATTTAAGCTCTTTGAAGTCAATATAAACGCTCACTTGGTATATATGTTATCATACAAACATCATATATGAAAATAAAACTAGAAATATTATCAAACCAGGATCAATGTTATCATTAGATGGCAGGAGTATATTTTAATACGAACATTTTCGACACTATTTATTCAAGTGCCTTGACATGAATCCTAAATGAAATGGATTTTGAATAGACGCTTATATTGTTTTTTCTTAATAATATTTAGTTGGATCCTAGTGCTCAAGGAATTTGTTAAATTATTAAATTAAATAAATTTAAAATATTTACATATGTGATTATTTATTTATTATATATTATAATTTATATTAGTACTAGATGGTATTTCGCAACCTTGACCCAATCTTAGTATTTTATTTATTTATTTATTTTTTTTTTTTTGTAGTTATCAATTTTAAACGTATTTTTGCCTCCTCTGAAAATGAGATTGCAGCCCAACGAATAAAAACGAAAACCAAAAGGTTGAGTCTACGATTGAGTGTGAAGCTTAAAGCAGAAAAAAAACTTTCGTTTATTCAACCTTTGACCTGCATTATTCATCCAAAATATGAGAATTTTGCGAAAAACGAACCAAATCGATTTTCGTAAAGATCTTTCCAATTAATTCTCTCAAAGATCTTTAAAGTTAAACCGATCGAACGCTAAGCAAAACAACTTTCATACAACTATTTTTTGCCAATTTACCACTGTTGCGGGTGAAATTTCAACAAATCTCGGAAACACTTATTCATTTAGTGCCTATGTGGAGATTTGAAAATAAGTCTGGTGCAAATAGGAGAAAACCTAAATTTAGGCCAAAAAACCTATGAAATGCATTTTTCACCAAGAAAGCTGGATTTTCTATAAATTGTGCCTTAAATGAATTTTCGTATAGATCTTTAGAAATAAATTTGAGCGCGAAACATCACCCACGAAATCTTGGACAATCTTCAACAAAGAAGGAATGTATTTTTCGAAAAATGTCAACGTCTTAACTGCACAACAATTACCCAGTCAGTGAGTTAGGACAAAAAGTTTTATATATACAGATTATAAAACCGACTGGAAATGGGTAGCAATTGTAGATCCGATTTGTTTTAAGTCATTGATAGCTTTCCCCGGCATGAATGCTTGTAGAGTAGAGGCAGGCTCTGGAAGGCCTGGGTATTTCGGCATGGGTATTTCACGAACCAAAATTAAAGATTCCTGCCAGCAACATTGTCGAACGGTGATAGCGCTCGCTGAATCAACCATGTTAATGCTGTGTGACAAAAATGAATGTTTACTTTATAAGTTTTGTAACGAACACAAGTAAATCTTACGGAGCACACTCTGTCTAAACAGGGGTCCGGCCATGCTAGAAGGGTTGGTTTTTTTGCTCCTTCGGACCTAGTCGTCACTTAATAAAGTGTAGACAGAGAAAAGGGATAGGAATACACAAATCAAAGTAAGCTCTGAAAGTGAACCAGTAGTTGATGAACAATTAAGATGTTAAAGCTCCTCTTTCTATTTACCCGCCTTGCCAAGTATAATGCTAATGATCAGACTCTAAACATCCTAGACAACCTGTGGTGCTGAATGCTCAAAAGTCCGTTTACATCTTTAAAAGTAACGGGACGTTAGTAAAAAGAGACAACCCGAAAAGAAGTTAAGTAAATTAGTATCACATACTACAATATCAGAAGTGGGATTAACTCTAAAAATGAGGAAAAAAAATAAAAATGATGTGTCAATAGCAGCGTTGAAGAGTTTGTTGGCATTGTTAAACTTGCCAGCAAAGGGCTCAAAAACAGAGCTGACGAAAAGTTGCTGCAGATGAACTTGGACTTAAAAGCAGCAAAGAGCAGACAATTGAAACCCAAAATAAATTGAAAATCACAATACAACAGCAGCGTGACAAAATACAAAATGGCGCCGAGTTTCTAAATTCGATGCGTCTCGAAAATTCTTGGAAGAGCTTCAAATTACGGTTTACAACAACCCCAAAATCTGCTAGTGATACGGAAGAGAGCAGGAAAGTGAAGTCAGCGATTTGTTCTAGAAGATCTAGAAGATGGTCACATTGAAGAAAAACCACGGCTTGCAACACTGGCGCACCCGGTAGAATTGACCGCGGCAGCACCATAAGTTCACAGTTGTTCTTTAGTTCTAGTTTGGGATTCAAATAAATCGATAACATCTATACTCTCATTTATATTTTTTCCAATTTGTTGCTATTAATTGGTTAATCGGCGCCCAACGTAGGGCTCGCGATTTGGACGACACACCAATAAAGAAAGAACCTTTACGTGAGCCATCAGAAATCGTTTTCTTTTATTTTATAGAAAACTTAATTTGTTGTAATAAAATAAATAAATATTTTATACCAGAACATTTGTTGGAATAATAACCGTCAAAAACTGGATCACCAAATTGAAAGTTTTTAAAATTGCTTATAATAATTAAACTGCTGGTTTGGTAGCTCAGTTTATTGTAACTCAGACCAGAGCACTTCAAAAACCAGTTGCAGAATTGAAATTGCAAATTACTTTTTCATTTTATTAAATTTCTTTGAGTTTAAAATTACTGAAAGCAATGCCTTAATTTGTTGCGATGAGTCAATCAATGTCATCAAGTCTATACCCGATTTCTTAAGGAGCTAAAATGCATATGTTTGATGGCGTGAAGCTTGAAGCTTGCTGCGCCTTGCGAATTTATAAGGAAAGAAGTAAAAAAAAAAGGTAAAGCTAATGACACCCTGACTAATTACTGTACAGTCCATCATTTTGAAGCTATATAAGCTACAGCGTTAAGTTTCTATATATATATGTATAGGTCCTTATAATTAAAATATATTTAATTTAAACTTGAGTATTTTTTTAAGGAATATAAATAAATATATACTTATTACGTACATTTATATTTAAAACTATTTTTGTGGTCTTGTACTTGGGTTCAGGGTATTTTCTAGTCGAGCACTCCCGACTATTTTCATATTATTTGACATTTGGAAGGAAAACTTGCTGGCGCTTAGGTAGATCAAATCATCTATTTATTTGAAGACGCGGTACTTTTTCCATACACATGTTACAGACAACGGACACTTGCCAATGTAAGCCCGAAGTTCGAAAATGTAACATTTTTTGAGCGTAGTGATATTAGGCTATAAGATAGCAACACATACCCAAAACACCGAACATAATACAAACGCAATAACAATGCTGTTATAGAATTCAATAAATATGCAAATAAATGTGTACGTACATACATACACAGAAATTTTTGAAATTTTCTGTAGTTGCTCAAAACCACTAACCCAAAAATATATAGACTGGACAACCAGTGGAAGACGCTGGAGCCTCGCGTTTTATATGCGGCTTGCCCAAAGTCGCCTTCGTTTTTGTTCGGGTGCGAGACACGCTCGCACGATCAGACAGCAAGAGATTAAGAAATACACATGACTTGTATGATAGATCGGTATCGCTGCTCTTGTTTATTCCCTCACACTGCAGGAAAATGCTTTGGTTTTCTCTCAGTGCTCTTTCAATTTGTGTGTTTGCCGTTTTAATGACCGTGCGTGTATGTGTCCGCACAAGCAAAATTGCCCACAAATTCCATTTTTCTCAAATGTCGGTGGCTTTCTTCCCTTTTGAAAGGACGAGTAATATGAAATAATGTATGCCACGTTGAAATTTTTGCATTTAAGCTCGTTATCATCGGTAAAGGTACCCAAGCGTTGGCATGTGTGCATTTAAAATATGTTGGTATCGCAATTCGCGAATAATTGCATATTTTGTATATAAATAAAAGAATTTATGCGTTTGTGTGCCTGTTGGTTGCCTGCCTGTCTGTGTCTTGCAAGTTTGACAAGATTTTAATTTTGTAGCATTTCTGAACTTCGAGCTCTAAAAACATAAATACACACACAAGTGTGTGTGAGTGGGCAGATCATAAGCGCAAAAGAAAATGCATTATTCGCACATAAAAAGCCTTGGTCACATGCGCAAGATTATATTGCAATCTTCTTAAATTCATAGACTTCCCTTGGCTTGGCAGACACATACACATACACATATGTACATTTATGCAGATTTGCACCAATATGTGTGAGATGAGACATGCATACAACAACTATTAGGCGGGTCGCAGCACTGATACCCTTTTTTATAGAAATGGTATATAATGTTTCAAGAAAATAATTATTAATAATTGTACCAACAGAGCTTTTGATCCAAGCGCCTTCCATTTCTCTTTCTTAGTCAATGATGAAAAGTGTAAGATGGTGTTATTCGACTTTAAGTGAATTTTGAATGCCATAAAATATATAACATACATATACATTCTACATATACATATGTACACGTATGTACATGCGTGTGAAGATATATAGTATGTTGAAATATTTCTATGTATTTCAAACTTATAAACTGATTTCTTAGTAAAGTTGTCCATTACTAATCAGCGATTAATTTAATCGTGGATTCAACCTGAATTGTGAACACGTGTCCTGAGCCACGTGCGTAAAGAAGAGGGTAAGTTAATATGTGTTTCAAGCACGTTGCTAGCGATTTTGATTTTTATGCGCCATTGTTGTATGTCCAATCATTTTACTTAACGACACTACCAGACGTTGAAAATAAATTGTATTTTAAGGGATGTTAATGTGTGAAAAATATTTGTTTAATAATTTGATGCACCGTTCAGATTAAGAACAAAGAAAACCTAGGAAACACACGTGCACGTAAAACAACATTTTAGTAAAGGTGAGACAGCTTAAACTCTAATCGCTGATTAATCCCTAAAGCAAATATTTTTATTGTTTGCATAGTGCATCTGCACCTATATAACCTTTCATACCATGCTATAATTAAAAATAGGAAATGACGCAGAACGACTTTGTTTGTTATAAAGAGGAAAATATACTAATTTAGACCTATAGTTGCCGCCATACAAAATCCTTGTCACCGACTGATAGATTTTATAGGAAATATACGATATCTATTTTTCCGATGTTGATAAAACAAAAGTTTTAAATTAATTATCGGAAAGTTGTACCGAAAATAAAAAATTTTGGGGCACGACAAAGCGGGAACATAGGATCATAAAACTTATACTTTTCCTAAATGCTAATATATGTATGAAATGGAAATGATTGAAAGCTCTAAAGCAGAAGTGAGTAAATTGAGCGAATAGACATCTTTTTTTAAGGTTTCGGAGG